TTGTGTGTGTGTGTGTGTGTGTGTGTGTGTGTGTGTGTGTGTGTGTGTGTGTGTGTGTGTGTTTGTGTGTGTGTGACAGGGTCAGGGTGATGCTTGTCAACAGACCTCAGCCATTAGCTTTTGACTCTGAGATGTTTTTGTGGCTCACAGAAAACAATTCAGTCAAGAAAAGGACAAAGTCCAGAGGGAGCGTYTGTCAGTCAAACCACTGAGCTGAAATATGAACTCTTTATCATAATTATTCACATCAAACACTCACAAGCTAACTATGTTCAGAGCAAACAGCAGTTTACTGTGGTTTTAGATTTTAAAAACCATATACATATACAAATCTGTTTAAAATCTGACATTTTTAATATCGATACACTGAAATATATCGCGATATTTCATCTCCTGATACTTTATCAAAAAAATGTGGATTACAGTTGGAGTTCTCGGTGTTAAGTGTTCTTCTGATTATATAAAGGCAAACTTTATTCAGATATTATGCAAGTAAGTTCATCTTTTAGAGGAAAAAAAAGTGCAATACAGTACATTGCCTTAATTAAAGTATTGCAATATATCGCGATTTATCGTGACACGATATATCATATCACCAAATCTTTGACAATACATAGCCCTATAAGTGAAAGGCTTAATTTGATAATAATAATTATTTTTAAAAACATATCTAATTCACATTGACAATTGGAGCWAGACCTGTCACAATAATAAGACAATAAAAATACAATAAAAGACTGCATAAACTGCGAAAAAAGTTTGCATTTATGCATTTTGTGACTCAGATGGAAGCTTGAAGTATTTCACCAATCAAATGGAGCCCTTCATGTATTTGGTCAATTGGATGGATCTCTTCATATTTTAAAAAAATTCATGCTGGATTGGAAATGATTAGTTTTTTTTGCTCTGAACCCAGAGCAGAAAGACATCAACAACACATACTTATTTGTTTATTTATCGCAAATCATATCGTCGTCACAATATTAATCAAAGCTATTGCACATTGCAGGTTTTCATATTGTTTACCTAATTGACATTGGCATGTGAAATCAAAATGGTGTAATTTCTGTCACAGATCTGCGATAGGGAGAACAGAGTTCTCAGCGTCTTGCTAAATATAAATCAGGCCTTAAGGCATGAGATCAAGAGTTGTGCAAAAGCAAAACAAAAGATTTCCCAACGTTCACCCATGGAGCCTCTGCTCTCTAACTTAATGAGCACAAGTTCTGTTTTTTTCTCCGAACCAAAGCCAACAGTGAGTTTCAGTTTGCTGCAAGATTAAAATCACATATTTGTAAAAGCCACACTTCATAACACCTCATAAAATAAAAGCATTAATATTGTTTAATGGTTTTTCCATAACATTTCATTTATTGCTCCATTTTAATTTGCATGTGTTTTTGAGTTTATCATAAAAACTTTTTATATAAAATCTGAGAGATGCAATTAAGTGTCGGTGCTTTGCAGCATTAGGTCGAGCAGCCGAGGCGTGTTTACTGTTCCGCAGGCCGGAGTTTATGAAAAACATATCTTCCCCTGCAAATTATCAGGTTTGGAACATTTGTTTCATATCAGCCACCTCACAGCAAGCATTTGTTTTTTTTATTAAAACATTATTTATTGCC